TTGTAAAAAAAAATAAAAATAAAAATAATAAAATAAAAATGAAATAAAAATCAAAATACGTATTCAATGTTCAAAATAATAAAAATGTTCTTAATAATATGTTTTGTGCTATGGACTCATGATTCAATTTCAAAAAAATAATTTATTAAGAGCTCGACAGGACAAAGAAAATATTATTTTCATATTATATATTGTAATTATTAAAAATATGACTTTTTTCCTATTAATTACAACAATATCTATATATAGAATACAAAAATAAAAAATAGTAATGTAATAAGAAAAATATGTAATATACTCACCAACTGGTTAATTTGGATAACGAGTGGTTCTCGATCTCAACATGTTGGGCTACAGAGTAGCCAAAATAAGAACCATGCAGGCCCCTTTTGACAACAGGTATTCGTGGTTCCAGATTAAAAGCGTGTGTGACGCACGCACTTAAAGCTATTAACAGTAATGCGCTCATCTTCATCTCGTTAGCGATAACACCATATAATTTCTCGAATGTCTCCGTCTCTAATACTACCTAAACTCTCCGCGCAACCACTTCTTCGTCATCACCATTGGCTACCAAAAGTCACAAATGCTCCTCGCACTTTTTCTACATTTTTGAAAATGCACTATCCACCCACACATCAGGTAGTATCAGGGATATCGGGCGTACTTTCACGAGAGGTAGTCGAAGCTTCCTTTTTTGTCAAGTCCAGCTAGACCGATCGATGATGTGATTTCGATTAATCGAAGTTCGATATTTTTTTGTAGAAATAATCGATTTCTCGTCCCTCGATTATTTTCAATATCGATTAATGAGCTATCCGATTATTTGTAGCGAGACTTTGACTACAGCCTATGTACTCTTACTGTTTGAACCTGCGCACAATACAATAAATATTAGGAATTGAAATCTATAGTCAAAGTCTCGCTACAAATGCTTTGAAGTATTTGCAGCATCGTATTGACCGTACTCATAGATATCCCCATAGATACCCAGTATAAGATACAAAATGGCGACAACCTAATGGCTAATTGGCGCCACTGTCTTTATATCCACTCTAAAGGCTTAAACACAATAGGCAATAGGGAATAACGAGCCGTCCAGAACTCTAGAGTGTAAGTTCGATATTATATCCCAGAGCTCTGATTGGATGGCTCGTTATTCCCTGTTGCCTGTGCCTATTGCCTATGCCCGTTATGTTTAAACTCACTTTAATGGGGCGTATTTACTGCGTAACCGCATAACCAATCAGTAATCAGTAAAATGCGAAATCACGAGATCGATTCTGTATCTTGAAACAAGATGAAAATTACAAAAATGAGCGAATTTACTAGAATACTAATAATTTCATTGATCAATATCTAGTAAATTTGCTCACTTGTAATTTTCATCTTTGATGTATCTTCAAATTCTATTTGAAGATACAGAATCAACCCCCTGAACAGCGGATCGTTTCTGATTGGTTACGCGATTAGGCGAGATATGCGATAAAGACACCTCATGCTACTCTAGTCTAATGCCCGTAATCAGGTCTTATATTTAAGGCTTCCTTAAATTTATCTTTATGTTACTTTATAATGGGTGGTACAACAGTTATAGTTGATTAAGGAATAGGCATCGAAATCGATCAATTATAGTTGATTATTTTTCTCATTCAACTATGATTGGTCAATTTCTACTTCTTAATCTACTGCTATTACTCCTTGTATGCATTATGCGTGGTCTATAATGGCAGTATCAATATTGCATGAGACTATAAAAGTAAAAAATTGACCAATTACAGTCGATTATTCTTCTCATATTCAACTGTGATTGGTCAATTTGTTACTCTTACAGCCTCATCTACTACTGCTACTGCCATTGTAGACCACGCATTAAGTACAAGATCTGAATACATAATCATAAGATTGTACTTAAGATGAAGGCTCTTAAATACAAGAAAAGTTCCGGGATTTTTCAATACGTGGCGCCACTAGAAAATGAACATGATTCATTTCGAGAGTCTCATTCATCTGTCACTAGTTTATGCATGAAGTTTCATGACATTTCGTTCATTCGTTTACAAGCTACAGTCGTTTAAGTGGCGCTACTTTCGCCTTCGTTTTGTACTATCACGATAACGTACCGTCACACACGTCCTTGAAAGCGATGGCCAAATTGGATCAATTACGATTCGAATTGGTTGTTCACTCACCGTATTCTCCAGACTTGGCCCCTAGCCACTATTATCTGTTCCCAAACCTCAAGCGGTGGCTCCAGAGAAAGAGATTCACATCGAATGAGGAAGTTATCACGGAAATCGAGGCGTATTTCGAAGGCTTGAACGTTTCGTATTACAGAAAGGGCATCGAAATGTTGGAAAATTGCTATACCAAGTGTATCGCCCTCGAAGGCAACTATGTTGAGGAATAAATATAACTTTGCCCAAAAAACGCTTGTTTTCATTAAAAATCCCGGAACTTTTCAGCCCATGTAGTACTAACTATATATGAATACCGATTATAATCAACGAATTATAATTCAACGAAGTTTACAACAGGTGAGCGTCCAAACTGTTTCAAACCTAACGTGTCTTCACGTCTTTTTCTCCAACATGCATTCGATTTATTTTATACAAGTAGATATTATATACATAGATACGTATGAATATATATATATCCAAATTATGCGGTTAAATAAGACTATTATTAAAATCAAAATAGTAATAAATTAATAAAAGAGTCACATATATATTATAATTTTAGTTTAGGTGAGAAAAATTGTATGTGATGATAACTGACATAATTAATACAGACTCATTAGTAATCGATGGGGATAACAATTTATTGTCTCGTTGACGCGCTTAACGTCAAGTTTGACGTCGAATAGCAGGAAATGCCAGTTTCGTGTTCGGATTGCGACAGGCAGTAGCATTGCATCGTTGCTCGTGAATCGTCGCGAATGATGATGGATAGTGTCGATGCGATTTTTGACGATCTCATTCATCTACTTTTCTTTTTGATTGCTATCTATTTATATTTAACCTTGAAATTAATTTAAAAAAAGAAAAACTAATATTGAGAAATTAATTTCGCGCAAGTGCATTCGTTCCAAATATCTAACCGTTTGAACGAGTTATCCCGAAACCGTTATCCCGAGTTTAACTTTGATGCAAAAAAATTGTAATAACGTGTATTAAAATATTTTGCATAATAAAGGAAAAGTGATTATAATCAAATCTGTACATATTAAGGATGAAAATTAATGAAAATAATATTACGAACGTAACAAAAATGGAAGATGGTAAAAAAGATGTGAAAAGAAACCACATTAAAATAAATATAGGATTAAACATAAATTGTAAAATCATAAATATATAATACATTGTGTGTGTGTGTGGGTGTGTGGGTGGGTGGGTGGGTGTGTGTATGTGCGTGTGTGTGTGTGTGTGTGTGTGTGTGCGCGCGCGCGCGTGCGCAACTGTAAATTACACAAAATTGCAAAGTTTTACTCTAAAACACGCGTTGTGTTGATTAAAAAAAAACTTATTTTCATGAATGTTTTCCAAAATTGCATTCTATAAGAGAGAAAAAATCATTCAATTTTGTTCTAATCTTTCGGATAGAATGGAAATTGTAACGTTGTGCGCAGAGTAAGTATAATTAACATTTGAAAGACTATAAATGATCAAAAAATTTATAATTTAATCAATAATTGATGTAATTATTCTATATAAAAGTAATTACAGTCTCTGATTTTAACTCATACCGAGTTAAAAAATTAAGTTTTATCAATTTTTCGAAACTTGCTTTCTTTTTCACAAGAACTTGTGAAAAAGAAAGACTAAACTAAAAAGAAGACTAAAAATTGTTTATACGACAAAAGAAATAATATCAACTTTTGATACTCATGAGAAATTATTTTGTAACAGATATGTTTTGTATAGGTTTCATCATGAAAACTAGTATCTACAATATTATTATTTTTATTATTTGATTACAATGGATACTTAATGAACATTTGTTTTCGATGTATTATTTACTTCTCTTATAGGAAATATATATTTAGGAAATATATATAATTACACGTGTACACACGTGGAGTCATCAATAATCGTGTAAAGAGGAGGCTGAATTTTTTATTCTTTATCGTTTTATTCTTTGCGATTATTATTTATTTTAAAAAAAGATATTTTAAGTACATATATACACTGAGAGAAAACGCAATAGACAACAATAAATTTGGCAACATTTATTGGTAATTATAATAACTCTTCCTCTAATTTTATAGAGTATATAATAGCTGTTAATCTAGTATTCAACTATAAAAATATATGTAATTACGGCAACAATATTCATTAATATTAAATAGCATATCACTATATTAAATAGTTACTTAGACTTCATAAAAATAAAACAAAACAATTATATTTTTTAGTTTAAATAAACATCTTTTTTTATATAAAACACATATTACATCATAGTAACTAATAAATTATTATTAAGGTAACTTAAAAAAAATAGTTTTCAAAATTTTTTCATTAAAGTCGTTTAGCCATAACGAGCAGTACATATATATATATATGTTGTCATCAGAGACGCAGCGGAATTCAATTTCTCTTAAGAAGAAAATCACTCAGCATACAATAAAAGGCGCAGCATTGAATTCGAACTTAGAAAACAAAAGTAAATGCGAGAGATCTCGACAGTATATAGTTTTTAATTCTGTGTACTAAAATCATTCAATACAGAAATCTTAAAATTCCTAAAAGTTATTTATATGTATAAAAATTTGTATCATAAAATTAAGACAGTAAAAAAATTAAATAAATTATATTAATTTATTTATTGTTTTTGTTAGAACTTTGTAATACGTATTAGTTGAAGCACACAAAGAGAAACGCAATTGCTATACGTTATTTATCATCAAATTTCTAGTTGCCGAAACAATTTTTTTTTCTCAGTGTAATACTCTTTTTATATATTGAGTCATAATGGAGTAATTTTGAAAATGATATTTTTTCCCTATTATCATGTTCATATACACCGTTCTAAGGTTCTTTGCATCTTGTATGTAAAATTTTATTTCTATAACTCGTATGAGAGACTGTTTCTTATAATGATTTGAAAGCTCTGCAACTTAGGAATTTACTTTAAAGATGATTTTATAATTATGATAAAACGATCATTTATTCATAGATATGCGCATCAACGTATACGATGTATAACTTGACATATTCAAAACTGTTATTCGTTATTCATAGCATTTCGCACGAATAACGCTTCCGTCCTTTGACGCGTCAAACCATCGTATTTGAGAAAAATTCTATTATCAGTAATATCAAGAAAATATGCTACAAAACTTAAACCATAAAATTTTCCGTACATATCTTCTTATCCTTATATTTTCTTATCAAGATCTAATAGAAGATCATTTCAATGATCAAGTTCCGTCAAGACGCGATT